CATTGTTATTGTGAAAACAGGTCGGCCATGTTGTCTTTCTCGCCGTGAATTTTCGAGCCGTTTTTTCGAGCAAATTTCAACCGTTTTTAAACATTTTTACGGCCTCAAAAACTCATATAACGAGGAAAACAAGTCGTAGTTGTTATTTTCATGCGTAACATTTCTTCTGGGGATGGATTATTTTTCCGTCGAGCTGCGGAAAACTTAGCGCCATGCCGCAACCATGCGATCGGGCGCGGCCGGCCGGCGGGAGTTTTACTTTGTATCGGTGAGCTTTCGCGATGTAAACAAAGACAGTCGGAGTTGTTTACATGAAAATTTTGTTGTTAAACGCCAGCGGGGTGTCAGATTTTCTACCAATGACAACGTTTTCTTTGTGGCGTCATGCCGAGATCGACAATTCATCGTCAATTCACAGGATTGTGCCGACAATGGAATTGAATAGCGGCCCGATCCATGCAATTAGCGCTCGATCCACGCCGCCCGACCGAAGAAAATTGGAATGACGAGCACATTTATCGGGGATAAAATCCCCAATTTTGAAAACCGACCGCTAGCCGCTCGAAATTTTTGGTCGGCCCAAAAAAGGCTAGGGTCGGGGGGTTTTTCATAGGGTCGGTCGGGTAACCGGAAACACAACATTTTTTTTCCTAGGCCTGAGGACATTTGCATTTTTAATATCAATGTTGGAAAACCAATTATTGTACGTTATATCACTCAAGTGTCAGATCATGGAGCTACAAAAGGTTGATCAGCTCGAAAAAATTTATGTGCCTTGTACTTAGTTGGAGGGGTCCACACAAAAAAAGGCTAGGGTCAGCAGATTTTTCTATGGTCAGTCAGGAAGCAGGAAACACAACCTTTTTTCCCTAGGCCTAATGCTGCTTCTTGTTGTTACAACTGCTGTGCTAGTCCTAAAAATAATTAAATCATTGTTAGGCCACACCAATTTAATTTCTTGGTTAATGGCTTTTTCTAGAAAAATAATGGAGCGGGCGGGCGATAAAAATAAAAACAGGCCTAGGCATTCTATTATGGCCCAAAATGGTATAGGAGCCATGAAGTCAACACACCAGGCTGGTTTAAAATTTAAACAATGAATTTTGAACTTTTAATGATACCATTGCATTGAAAGATGGAATAACTGTAACAACTAGGATGAATAGGACTGTTTTCAACTGTTCAGGGCAAAATATGAGCATTTTGCAGTTGATTCTGATTTTTTATTTTTATTTGGAAATCAGAAAAAAATGAAGCGGGCGAATCCGTTAATCAAGAAATTAAATTGGTGTGGCCTAAAGCTGTAGTGTTCTGATTTCCACAGATTGCGTGAAAACGACCAGCATGTTTGACTTCCGCGGGCCGCAGGGAAGGGCAGCGACGGAGGAGGACGGCATCAAAGTCTGCAAGGCCCTGCGCCAGCCTCAGTTTGGGCTGGGACAGATCATCCTGGAGCCGCGCCAGGAAAAGGGTACACAGTTTGTCAGGAACGACACACTGGTACGTTATGTTTGTTTTGTTTGTTTGTTTGTTTGTATGTCAGTGGTCGAAATACTTTACTGTTCTGCAATATTGCAGAAGAGTCAAAATTTTGTTCTGCAATTTGGAAATACTTTCTGCAAATACACAAGCCTCTAATAATGGCTCTATACTACAATCTTGCAGGTTTATAAGCATGAACTATTGATTGATATGCAAATTAGTGAAGACAAATTTTTGGAAGTCCAAAAGGAAACAAAAGATAGACAAGTCAAGACAAAGTTGATGTAAATTAGTGAAGAAAGTCCTGTTGTTTCAGAACAGGAGCTTAAGTGTTTTCTGTCCTTGGGGCCAAGAGCGCCAAATCCCAAGTGCCAATTTTTCCTGCTGCAAAATTGCAGATTGTATAAATTTTTCTTCTGCAATCTTTGAAATCTATCTGCAGATTGCAGACTGCAGACAGGTATTTCGAACACTGTATGTTGTAGGAAGGAAGGAAGAAATGAATGGGGCTTGTGACTTGAAGGTTTAAGATGGAAAGATACAACTTTGTGACCTTCTCTGTCCTGTACTTAGGCTACAGCTAGTAATTTTTAAGGACGATATCATCACACGCATTAATTTATGCCTGATTTTAGGGAATAAGAACTGAGAAATTTTGTTGCCCTCCGACTGAGTACTGGTACAGTTAGGGTGGTCACATCTGGCCACTCTTTCAAGAAGCTGGTAAAACAATATTGCTGACCTCTGACCTCTCGACCCAGCCTGATCCATTGATTTTGATGCTCGGTTGTGTATATATATGTTCACTCACTCACTGCTCGGCTTAGCGTCCGTTGTTCCCCGTCATGCAAGGGTTGGACGTCGTGGGGTGTCGTTTGGGTCTAATAGCTGCTCTCCAGCTGCTTCTGTCTAGCGGGTTGGCCTTCTGCAGTTTCAAGTTTTTGACATCTTCGTTACTTTTGTTATTTTGTTTACTGTTGTTGGTGTTTATGTCTATCTGTACAGGGCACGCCTGTAAAGCAGTATATTGTACTGAGTGTGTCTACCCTGTATAAAGAAGACAGAAATAAATAGATAAATAAATAAGTGGTCAACATGTCAATGGGAAAAGATGTCTGTTAACAAACTTGCCATGCCAGAACATGGATGGCAGATAAATATGTAGAGAGGAGACAGGACAAAGCTCTGATTTATTGTTTTGTCTTTTACTTGTGTGATGCATTTTATTCCTTTCATATGTGGTGATTTACCATGATGGCTTTGTATATGCGATGTTCCCACTCAATCAAAACCATTGTACAAGGATTGTAACCTTTTTTTTGTGACAAATGGATGTTGGAAGTAAACTTAGCACAATATAGGTATCATTTCTTGTCTACAAGGTTTATGATGTCAAAATTTGAAAATGGAGGAATAATTTTTTTGGCCCAACTTGTTTTTTTCCCCTATCGCATTAGATTTGGAATCTGCGGAGGATGTCATCCATAAGATTTACTTGCTGTGGCCTAACAGGGCTCAAAATTAAAGGTGGTCCAATGGCCACTGACCACTAAATTTAGGCTGGGACAACTAAAAAGACACTTTGGGACATTTTTGGGACAATAGAAAAATAATTGACATCAGAACGTTAGCCTTTTTTGGTTTATCAGGCACACGTCCCGGCTTTTGGATCTGGAAAAGTCCCCCCGAATTTCCCGTCTACACCGCAATTATAGTGCGCCTGGGAATGAACACAAGCAAAATAAAGTTGACTTCAACCTGAAGTCATACAATACTTGCCAAAAAAAAACAGGTTGGGACAGTTCATCCTCACTTCGGGACAATTGAAATTTATTTTTGGGACAGACGTTGTGCCCTTGGGAAAGGCACTAACACGTATTTCCCCCCTCAGTTAGAGGGTTCCTGGGCACTACTAGGGTTTGGGTTGGCGTTAGGAAGAGCATCCAGCCGTAAAAATCTTGCTTCAAAAAAAGACTTGTACCTGGTGCAAGCACGTCTAACCCCCGGTTGGGGAAAAATGATGTTAAAATTCGGTTAAAAAAAAAACAGTGCTGGGACAATAGAAAGAAAAGTTAATTTTGCGGCCTGGCCTAAGGGTGTAGCATTCTTCTGTAAGCCAGAGTAATACTTCCATAGTTGGACCCTCAGATCTTGTACATGATTGCTGTTATAACTTAAGCATTGTACTAAATACCTACATCTTCCCCCAGGCCTATGTTGTGATGGAGGGGAAACTGGCAGTGACGATCCACCGCTCCACGATGAAACTACAGACAGGAGACATGTTCCTCATCCCGGCCGGAAACACGTACAACATACGGAACCTCCGCAACGACCGCGCTCGCCTCAGCTTCTGTCAGATCAAACCCTCGCAGCAGTGAAACTGTTGTTCTATCGCAGGGGTCGAAAGTCCTTGATTTAATTAGGTGCACTGGTGCACCTAAGGCCACGCCAATTTAATTTCTTGGTTAACAGGTTTTCTAGAAAAATAATGGAGCGGGCAGGACAAAAAAAAAAAAATAAACAGGCCTAGGCATCCTATTATGGCCCAAAATGGTACGATAGGAGCTATGAAGTCAACACACCAGGCTGGTTCAAAATTTAAACAATGAATTTCGAACTTTTAATGATACCACTGCATTGAAAGATGGAATAACTACAACAACTAGGAAGAAAAGGACTGTTTTCAACTGTTCAAGAGCATTTTGCAGTTAATTCTGAATTTTTTTTTGTAAATCAGAAAAAAATGAAGCGGGTGAATCAGTTAACCAAGAAATTAAATTGGTGTGGCCTAAACCCCAAAAATAGGTGCACCAAATACATGTACATTTTGGGTGCACAACATGAAACTGAAGTAAAATATTAGCAATGTCAAATTGACAACCTTACTGCTCCTCTTGTGAACTTAACCCTAACTTCAAAATTCCAAACAAGTAATAAATCTAAGTCTTTTATCACACATTGTTGGAACTACAGTTTATTGTACTTTTACTGTAGGTAACTTGCAAAACTTGTAGGTGCACCCACAGTCAAAAATTAGGTGCACAGCTCCGATTTTAGGTGCACAAAGGTGCACATGTACCCACTATTCTGACCCCTGTATTAGTAGCAGCCAATGGATTGAAAATACATATTTAACCATTTTCCAAGTCTTTTGATGGGAGCATTACAAGAATGACAAACATTTCCATAGAAATTATTCATTATGTACTTAAAGTAGTTTGGTTTTTGTTGATACTTGATACAAATGAAACTGTACAATGATTACTTTTTACTTTAAAACTTCCCAAAGTCTGAGCCAAGTCTGTGAGCACCGAATCTTGTTGGGGAAAGAACGGGGCTCTACGAAGTTGTATATACGTGTAATTTGGCACTATTACAAGTCAAGTGTCATAGTTTATAAATATACACAGACTGGAATACTACAAAATATAGATGTTAATGTTTTGCAAAGTAGTTTTTAACCTAAAGCTGCCTTAGCAGGAGAAGGTTAAAATTAGCAGTGTGACAAAAATACAAATGTAGTGGGCGTTTATTTGATAATGTGTTTTTGTTAGGGAGGTGGCTCTCTTACCATTTGAAAGTGGAAATAAAATTTGCACTAATTGAGATATTGTTTTTTTTAGTCCAATGTCTTGTTCCTTTTTTTTAAATCTTAAATTCTGTCCAATTATTTTCATAGTACACACACCTGTCCTATTCCATGGTGCTCTTGGTCCATGTCAGTCAGTCTAAGAGACTATGACTAACTGCGCAGGTCGAACAGGATGGCTCATTCCTATCTACATGTACAAGACAAAACAGATTTGAGCCTAAAGTCATGTTACAAAAAATAAAAGACCAATATAGTATTAAAGTTCACTCATTGTTCATGAGGCCTGCTTGGTAGCAGTGGCAGCGTGTCGTCGGCTCGCACGTTTGTCCTCTCTATGTTCCCACTCCCTGTGCACAGCCTCCGCACTCTTTCTCACCACCGCACGCCATCCGGCCCGGTTGTTATATATAATTGAATTAAAAACCAATGAAGGGGAAAAGGTATTGTTTTGTAATGTTTACCAAAGAAAACGGTAAACATTGTTTTTGCTCAGTTTCTTCTTCTTTTCCGTTCCAAACACCTAAAAACGTCGATATTTTCGTAATTGGAGCCTGGAGGAAAATGAAATTCAGCATGCTGGTAGGTTGGTTCAGGTCAGTTATAGTGGGATATCCCGGGATCTAGAGACAGAATTCCTTCATTAACTAACCTTTCGTAGCCATGTTGACGTGTTCACACATACACACACACACACGTGCACAAATACACACACAAACACACACACGTCATGTTCAGAATTAGCTTTCTATGAGGAACAAAACACTAAATTATATTAACCATGGCTTTTTATAATTCATCTGCACGTAATTTATTCAATACGAAGACACCAACTTTATAAACACCACAAGGATAAGTATAAAACTTTTCATCAATGTTTAGAAATATGCGTTATCTATGAGAAACAAAACACTTAATATTAATCATGTCTTTTTACAATTTATCAGATTCTATTATCTATTTTCTTCAAATCATTAACTACTGAACAATGAATATGACCAAACCAATAAAATGATAATTTAGAAACAGACCTTCTGACTATATTATTCTCATCAAATCATGACTCAACTTACATCAGATAATCCTATCAGGCTGTCTTATCCCTGTATTTTTTGTATATTTGTTTATTTATAATTGTTTTGCACTTAATTAAATATAAAATAAAATGTAACAGTCGAAAAATAACTAGACATGCATGAGAGGGCCGGAAAATGGTGGTTTATCTTTGACCCTCCCAATACTACAAGATAAAAGGATTAATTACCATTATTACTAAATGAACTATTATATAACATTGTATACAGCCTATACAAGCTAAGGTCGTTTTATCTTTAGTTTTGTCTATATGTGACTATTACATGTAATAGTCACATGGAGGTCAAGAGACTAGGTAGGTACATGTAGGTAGGTAAACTATCACATGACGACACGTGCATGACTGAATCTTAAGTGACATTCAGGCTGGTTGTTTTCTTTTAATACTTTGTCTACTTGGCTTTTTTCTATCTTAAGGGTGGGCATTGCATCTTTTGATTGTTAAACATTTTCAGAATCTGTTTAGGTCCTTATGAGTGACTGGTAGTGATGTGAAGCATCCTGGCCATTGTCGGGCTGATTCCTAGTCACAGCCAGAGGTTGGTAGGCGTGCTCAGGGATATTCCCATACCCAGTAGCACTGGCTGTGCGGGGAGGGGGGACGGGGGGAGGTTCATTGTCGGTCCTGTTGGGTGATCGAAGGGCCTGCCCTCTATCGGTTTGGCTCGAAACTGCACCTGTTGGAGGAGGTTCCACGTCTTCGTAAGCCTGAGACTGGGAGGAAGCTGGCCGTTTTCTGGTTTTGGGTTTTCTGGCATCCAAAGGGAGACCTCTAGCAGTTTGTATCTGAACTGCACCTCTTGGAGGAGGCTGCACGTCTTCGTAAGGCTCGAACTGGGAGGAGGCTGGTCGTGGGACAAGCTGTGGGTTACTGACATTCGAAGATAGACTAATAGGTTGGGCTTGAGTTGTCAGATCCTGCCCATTGGTTATCACAGTAGTTGTGGTGTTGGTGTTGTTAAAAACAACGCTGAAGTCTGGGCCTTTGGGAGCACTCTGGTTGATCCTCTTGCACCAGATCGCAAGAATAATGCCACCGATGATGAGAGTACCGGCTATAGAACCACAGACAGCAGCAAGGAGGACAGGTAAAGAGAAGCTGGGGTCATGTGCATGGTAGTTGTTGGTTTCTGGTTTGTATGAAGTACCGGTGATAGCCAGAGATGAAGTTGCCGTTGCCACAGTTGTGACTTTGCTTTCAACATCAACGTACAAAGTTGCAAATTTGGAGCCAACAGTATTTGATGCAGTACAGATGTACAGACCAGCATCTACTGTAGTGACTGTTACAACTGTGGAACCGTTTACCCAAAGAGTCACATCCGAATCAGAAGTTGCATTTTGTCCAGATGGGAGAATGACTGTGATCTTTGGTGTGGGGATTCCGGAAGCTTCACATAGCAACTCTCCCCCTACCAAAATGTTTTTGTCACCCCTCTCAAACCTCACAATGGTTGGCTCTTCATAAATGACATTGATGGACAGGTTGGCGAATGCAAAACCAGCTGGATTTGCTACAATGCAGCCATAAAGACCAGAATCTGCTGCAGAAATTTTTCTTATGACAATGTTACCATTCACATCCATAGTCACTCTCCCAACCGACTCAACAGTAGCGTTCACCCCAGATGGGAGAATGACTGTGATGTCTGGTGTGGGTATTCCTGATGCTTCACAGACTAAATGAAGGGTCTCTCCCTGTGCTAAGAGGTCATTGCCACTCCTCTTAAAACTCACGATGGTCGGCTTTTTGTAGAAGAATTCTATATATAGAGTGGCAAGTTTGGAACCCACAGGACTTGTTGCAACACAGACATACAGACCAGCATCTGCTGCTGTAACATTGGTTATGGTGATGGTACCGTTCAAATCAACAGTCACTTTTCCGACAGATTCAACAGTAGCATTCAGTCCAGATGGGAGAATGACTGTGATATCTGGTGTGGGGATTCCTGATGCTTCACAAACCAAACGGAGAGTCTCTCCCTCTACCAATGGGTTATCTTCACTTGACAAAAACCTGACAATGGTTGGCTCTTCATAGACTACATGTATATTTACAACAAGAATTGCATTTGTGGAGCCCACAGGACTTGTTGCAATACAGGCATAAAGACCAGCATCTGCAGCAGTAACATCTTTTATGGTGATGGTACCGTTCACATCAACAGTTACTTTTCCATCTGACTCTACTGTTGCGTTCAGTCCAGATGGGAGAATGACTGTGATGTCTGGTGTGGGGATACCTGAAGCTTGACATAACAAATGAAGATTCTCCCCCTGTGCCAAAATATAATTCTTACTCTTCTCAAATCTTACAATCGTTGGTTCTTGACAGTTTGTGAAAAGATTTTCAGGGTTGATGTCTATAAGTTTCAGCCCACTGAGGTGGTCAGGATGGGAACAATTGATTTGGTTTTCAAAAGGCCGTGCCCCGTTCATTTTTTGCCTGAAGTCAACCATCCTACAGTCACACTGCCAGGGGTTGTTGTCAATGTTGACATCTGAAATGGATGAAAGTAAGTCATATGCCATAGAGGGAAGAGTTGTCATTTGGTTATTGTGAAGGTGAAGATAAGAAAGTCTTTGAATGTTTGACAAGTCTTCAAAGGGAAACATTGTGATGTTGTTGTCAGACAGTCTGAGATCTGTAAGTTGCAGTAAATTTGTCAGTAAGTTGGAAGGAATGGTTTGAATGTGGTTGTTGTACAGGTACAACTTTCTCAGTTGTGGCATAGGATTGAAAGTTCCCGCCTGAATGTCACTGATATCATTATTGTACAGCTGAAGCCACTCCAAATTCCCCAGCCCTGTGAACATGTCGGATCTGAGGATTGTTAACTTGTTGTTATTCAGGTACAAGGTTCTTAGTCGTGGCATTGGATTGAAAGTTCCAGCCGGAATATCACTAATCTCATTATAGGATAGATCAAGGTACTCCAAGTTCCCTGTGAACATGTCAGATCTGAGGCCTGTTAACTTGTTGCTAGACAGGTACAGGTTTTTCAGTTGTGGTGTTGGACGGAAAGTTCCAGCCTGAATATCACTGATATCATTATGGTATAAATGAAGGTCCTTCAAGTTCTCCAACCCTGTGAACATGTCAGATCTGAGGATTGTTAGGCGGTTCGCATAAAGATATAATCTGATCAGGTTTGACAAGGGATAGAATGCCTGGTAACTGATGATAGAAATGCGATTGTTACTAAGTCCTAAAGTTTGTAAGCTTCCATACCGTGAGAAATCAGACTGACTTATAGTTGTAATTCTATTAATATCCAAACCCAAGCTTGTGATGGTTGTCGGTAGGTCCTGAGGAACACTGGTGAGGCTCTGCCACCTGCAGTCACAGGATGAAGCTGTGCAGCTGCAGTCAGCTTCTGCTGTTCCCACCACCTTAAGGATGACCAGGAGGAACATCAGCACAGCTGCTGGCTTCTTACCCGTCATGTTCTCCCTGTTCTGGTACAAGATGTAGGGTACGAGGTACTAAATGCAATGCTTCATACTTAGCTGATCACAGTACATTATGAATTTTTTTTGTAGACAACCTAACACTTTTGACGAATATATGTACCGAAACACACAACAAAAAGGTAGCTACTCTGGGGAGCTTTTGAGACGCACTCTGTCTCTTTTTCAACCCGGTAAAGATGTCGTCTTGGAGTTCTCTTGTCACGTGATTATCACATCAAGTCACGTGACAAGAGAACTCCAAGACGAGATGTACAGGCTTCTGGTAGTGACGCCCCCTGTCCCTGTTTAAGGTACTGCGTTGTTGACGGATCTGGATCGCCTCCCGAACACTTTTTCATGTCACCATGCATGTACTTTGTATCAGTAGGATCAAACTCACCTTATGTTGATGTTGGAAAGATTGACACGTGTCAGGTAAAGGACTGATCAGCTGCTATTTTGCACTTGTGCTTGCAAACCTGAAAACAATTACAACATGTATTTAACATCATGTAATAACTAAATGTAAAGACCCAACCCTTGGGGACATTATAACAGGCAAGAGAATGCAACTAGCAGGCCACATCCCACGCCTATCAAGTCAGCACCACTCAAAGACTGCCATGACCTGGGTGCCACCAGGGGGCAGAAGGAAGAGAGGTCGGCCAAAGAACACCTGGCGAAGAACCTTTCAGGAGGACCGCAAGAGGGCTAACATTGCCTGGGAAGAGGCTGAGGAAGCAGCAGCTACTCGGCCCAGATGAAAACTTGCTACCCAATGTACCCAAATGTACCCAATGTAGGCACAGGAGGACCTAAGGTCTAAGGAATAACTATGTAATGTATATGTATTACTAAGTAAAGATAACACATGTACAGGATTTTGAATGTTCTATGAACAAAACTACAAGAGCAAAAGAAATAAGAAATTTTATGATTGCTGCTAGCTTTTACTTCTTTGATTGTGTATTAACCAGTTTTGAATGTGACCAGCATATCTCACCCAAAAGATCACTTAGTCTACATGATCTTTTGTTGGCATTTTGCCTTCTAAATGCTTGATATGACCTTTACATATTACAACACTCATTTGAGAAAACAGGAAGTTAAGCAACTTACATGTACCTGGACTGTAATAGATGGAAGATTGACAGCTGTCAGATACAACTCAGGTTGGCTGAGTATCCACACATAAAAACCTGGAAACAACAAAGTACACCCAATCAAATTTCCTTCTAAAGAGTAGTTAGTCTTACCATTCTGTTTGGGATCAGGGAATAGCATCATGGCAGTAATTATAAAGCAATGTACCTCAGCTGCCTACAACAAAATACGCGTATCATTAAAAAATCTTTCAACTTATCTTACAATCATGTACAGTGTTTCCTTTGAAGACAAACAGAGATTACAGCACAGTAAAACAACCCAAAACACTTATCGAGAAGACTAGAGGTGACCCAGTTAGTAATAATGTACTAGTATGTACTAGACTGCTAAAAATTTGCACTTAGTCTATGTACGCCTAAGTTGAGGATAACTACTTTACCTTACCTTGATGCTTGTGGGGTCTCTTCTTTCGTTGGATCTGAGTTGAGTTTGAAAGTTGTCCTTATTTTTCACAGCTGCGTAACAACCATGCAGCTAACTCAAATAATCTAACCTGTACTTTGACCGATCTGTGGTGTGACAAACAGTTGACTGGACATTGACCAGGACGGTTAAATATTCATGAGATACCTGCTCACTGTTATGTGCAGCATCTGTAATTTGCACAAATACGCATGCATATATGGCATTATATGGGATTATAAGTTACATGCACACACACACACACACACACACACACACACACACACACACACACACAAACACACACACACACACACACACACACACACACACACACACACACACCATACAAAGACATCAAGTTCATAAAGATCACAACGATACGAAGTTAAGAACACTTTTCATCATGTTTACAAATATTGGTTTGCTATGAGAAACAAAACAATTACAGACTGTTTACATTAACCATGACTATTTAAAATGTATTTGTTTTCTTTAATTTCTTCGAATCATTAACTACTGATCAATGAATATGACCAGGGGGACCAAACCCTATCTGTCACCAAAAAGTCAAGACCATAGCATGTTCAGGACAAAAGATACAAAAACCGGAAGTTCTGCTGCAGTACCAAGGTCATCCATATTTGACCTTGACCTTTGTCTTCCTAAACCTTATCAGCATACCAAATATCATCACAGTTCATAAAGGCGTTATGAAGTTATGCTGACTACAAATGTGGGGAAACACACACAGACACACAGACACACACACACACACACACACACACACACACACACACACACACACACACACACACACACAGACGCGCCAAAAACAATACCGCCATTTTTGATGGAGGTAACAAACGAAATTAAACCAAATCAAGCAGTAGTAGATGGCTTCTCTATCAGGTCCTTTTTTTAGATATGTGCCAGTCTAGTTGGACTGCCCATGTCTTTACCATTTATGTTCTACTTTCATGATGTACATGCATTGTAGATCAGTGCTTGTTTGTGTATATACAGTTACTGCACTTCACTTGACTCCAGCCAGCAATTTGCTATCCGCACTAAAGCATCGCGCCTCAGACGACTTGTGAACACTAACAAGCACTTTGTCATCATCATCATCAAGTAATTTGTATCGAACAGGAAGCCTTCTTTAACCCATCAATAGTATCATATCATCAGTAAAAGAGATAAGGCTGCTACACTTGCTTGCAGTAGCCACACACTCAAGACTTACACGTTTACTTGCTTGTGGCAGCTATATAAAGTTCATTCACCTTCATGCCCTATTGGACTTCAACCGCACATCACGTACAGGCGGAAGTTCAACTGCAGTACCAAGGGAAGCTGCCGGGAGGCCCACAATTGACCTTTTAAAAAGTAAGCACATGTCACAATTCGTATATAGTGTTTAGTTATGCTGACTAGTATATGTAGAAACACAGATAATAATACCTAGTAGATACATAGAGGTAAAAATCCATTAAAAACGTGCATCTTGGTTATAATACATGACTAATTAATAAATGCCTCTATCGGGGTTGATTATAATATTTTTCTACTATTACATACCGTTTTGTTGACTACGTAGAACATTGTTTAAAATTTGATCCAGTGTACAAATCGTCCGGAACATGTCAGTGGGTTGCAACGAATATTCTTCCAATAGCTATCTACAAGTCTCTCACTTTCTTGACATATTGTACTATTATATACCATATACACTAATATCCTAGCTATATCAACTTCTTTGATGCACTTATAGCCAACAAGAGGAGGCCCACTCGTATCAAAGTTCATTTCATCACAATTTGATGCGGAATAACCTTGTGGTATTCTATTTGTTATACCCAGCTCAGAAAACACGCAATTCAATACAAAATGCATGTGCCGGGAATTGAGCATATTTGGCGTCCCATAAACAAAAAAATTGTAAAAATTCCAACGTCCAAATCTGGTACTAGTATTCGAATGTTCAAAACGAAACGCATTCGATTTATTATATGGAACATTTGGAATTCCGTGTGATAACCGTTAGAACCCCATGTGGGTGATACGGCTAGTTATCACACGGGACCGTTGGAACACCCATATCGAACATTATCGCTGCCCAGGTATAACATAATGTAAATTATGCTGTAGATTTTCCAAAATTCAAACTGCTGTATGTTTGGGTGCTGTTTCAGTGGCGGGGGCTGTTATAGCGTACTCGGGTCCGTAGAAGGCCAGTTGCTTGTCCAGGTCGAGCTCCAAGATGCGGAAGGACGGCCGCTCGGAGGGCTGCCAACGCCAACACTGCAGCATCAGATCGTACCTGTGAGAAAAAGCGAAAAAGCGATGTCTAGTGATCTTCGTATGAACTGCAGTGGTCCTAAATTGTAAGTCATGGCCATATCGGAATTCATAAAATGTATATTACCAGGAATAAAAAAATGTTCTATGATGCTCCAGTTTTTAAGATTAAATTTAAAGTTGCACGCATGTATTGCCGCATAATAACGTAGTGCCGCACAATACATCAGGCATGTGTGTTTTCTGATGAACTGAATATAAGGCCACAGCAAGTAAATTTTATGGATGACATACCTCACAGACTCCAAATCTAATGCGAACGGGCGAAAAAAACGAGGCGGGCCAAAAAAAAAAGGTTCCTAGATTTCAAAATTTTGACTCAATCATTGTAAAAATGGTTTTGATTCAGTGGGAACATCACATATAGTACACAGCCAGCATCACATATCACTGCATCAAAGTAAGAAACAAAACATAAAATCAGAGCCTTTTCTTGCCTCCTCTCTTCATAGTTATCTGCCATCCACCTTCCGGCATGGCAACAGATATCTTTGCCCATTTACGGTATGGTGCGTGACCACTATCAGAGGGTAACAAAATTTCTTGTTTTTTTTGTTGTTTAAATCAGGCGAAAGTTAATGCGCGCGCTGATGTCATCCATAAAAATTACTTGCTTTGGGCTAACGTGAAAATTCACTAATGGATTTTCATGATACAGTAGTAGGTTTTTACCTTTTGTTTGTTTTGTTGGTAGAGTTTGAAGAAGTCTTGTCCGTTTGCTCGCAATTATGGTGCAAAAAAACAGACTTACATGCCAGGAGGGCAGCCCTCCGGTTTGGCCATCCTGAATCCAGCCTGCAGGCGATCTTTCAGATGGGCTATTGCCACGTCAGGGTAAGGCTCGCCCCCTAGCGTACTGATCTCGTACAGCACTATCCCGAAGGACCACCTGTTGGGGGGGGGATGTCAGGACATGTTAACGGGAATCAATGATATAATGGGAGATATCGCCGACTCGAGCAACTGGATATGCTTTTGGAAACGGTCGGACGTTTCAACTAGTATTCACTGACGAAAGCTAGTGGATACTAGCTGAAACACCTGACCGTTTCCAAAATCATATCCAGTTGCTCGAGTAACTGCTTTTTGGCGTATCTTAGTACCTGGATGTCTAACCTTCACCGACGTCATTGGAGACATCGTTTCTGGGTAGAGAGCTCCGATCCGATAGAATCGTCGATTCTACCGGTAGAAATCCCGATCGGAGTCTGTCAGCAGAAGGACCGGAGTCTCTTTTGGCAGTGATCTCAATTGAAATCTCTGCTGGTGCGCAATCTGCGATTCATGTTCAGTATCATACATGTGCAGTGCCATTAAAATACATTTTCTGGTATTGTGACATTAGAACAGACTATCTAAATAATATCAGTAGTTACCAGTAATGTAATTGAATGTTTAACCCTCAACAGTACACCTTCCCGGACTGATTAATCTGTACACCTGGGGTCCGCGCGGACCCCAGAGCAGTTTTTTGCTAATTTTTAGAAATTATCAACATGCTACCAGCTCAATTGTTTTGCAAACTGATGTGGGAACCTCTGTGTCCACATTGCAAACAAATATCATACATTTTGAACTTTTTCTATTTTTTGGTGAAGAAAAGAAGACAAGAAGAAATACCCGATTTTTAAACCCATTTCAGACTGAAGGGGCTTTTGAGGCCCAACTTTGATCTCAGATAGCGGCTAAACGTCTTGCGCTAGAAGTATCAAATTTGGAGACCTTTCCTAAAATGTCTATGGAAAAAAGTTCATATTAGTTTGATACTAGTTAGTTGATGTTTTTTTGTGTTGCCATGGCAACGGGTTTCTATTTTTCAAAATAGAAGTAATTTTGGTTTAAACATAAAAATTTTCAGAGTTTTATATTAAATTACACTTCTTTTCCAACATTAATAACATCTTACATAATTAAATATAAGTTAAATCATTTAATATGCATAGAATATGCTAATTTGATGACGTCATTGGTCAAAATCCAATATGGCGGACTATATTATTAGCTCTGACGTAATATGACGTCATAATTACACCAAAGTTATTAAAATTTAATTCTATTACTACACCATTCTCTGAAAACTTGGTAGACATAAGATGAGTGCATAAAAACATATAAAAACGGAAATAATGTAATGTATAAGAACGCCAGTGTATCCATTATGATCGAAAGCCGGCTGGGGTCCGCGCGGACCCCAAAAGAAAATCAGATATAATATTTTTTTATAAATGGTAGAAACGGAGTTTTCTGCACTGTATTGAGAGACAACTTTGTGGGTGACAATTACCTAAAATTTCAGAAAAAAATCTATAGAAACAAAAAAGATACTACAGAATATATAGTGCTGGGGTCCGCGCGGACCCCAGGTGTACTGTTTAGGGTTAACTTCTAGGGTATGTTGGGCAATGTAAAGTTATAGCAATAGACCTCATCCTCTCAGGTTAGTTCCACCGGCAGATCAGAGGTCCCCATTAGAGTTTCTCAGATGACTCCAGTCGGGATCACCCAGGGATATACTCTACTCACACATGTGTGGTGTGGGGTTAGAGTTAGGATTTGGGCACGAGAGTAATACTGCAGATTGTCGAGTGTTACTCACTCATCGCTGTGTTAGAATTTGAGTAGCACGGTTACATTGCAGGTTTTATACCATAAGACTACTCACACATCGCTCTGTGAGGTGTAGGCTTTCCCATCCTCCAGCCGCTCCGGCGCCATCCACTTCCAGGGCACCCTCTGGAGCCGGTCCTGCCGACGGTACCCTCGGGTGTAGATGTCGTCTGCCAGCCCGAAGTCGGAGATCTTCACCTTCAGCTCCTCACCGACCAGCACGTTCCGGGCCGCCAGGTCACCGTGGATGTAACGGGACCGGGAGATGTGATCCTGAAACATGAACATCCACAGAAATGTCATGATACATTTCATCAATCTAGCCTAAGATACAGCCAACTGGCAAGGACATTACTAAACGTATAACGGGGCGAATGTGGAGTGCCTTTTATATCACTAGTTAAAAATGCAGATCATATACTCGTACATGGATTATTAAAGTCTTTCCAGGCTCATAGCAAACTGCCGGGCAACCCGGTACATTAAAGGCATCTGGTGCATCTGCAGCACTTTGTGCATCTGCAGCACTTTGTACATCTGCAGCACCTAGTGCATCTGCAGCACCTGGTACATCTGCAGCACCTAGTACATCTTCAGCACATGGCACATCTGCAGCACCTAGTACATCTGCAATACCTGGTACACTGCAGCACCGGGTACTTGTTACCTGTACTTACCATGCCTCTAGCGATCTGCCGGGCCACCTGGTACATCTGTTTCACCTCGAAGTTGTAGATGTCGTCCCGAGGTTGGTCATATATCTCTTCCTGTAGAAAAACAATTTAGTATTAAAGTTGATTAAAGTTAGATTTTGCAAATACATCGTGCGTAAACTTTTTAGAAAGTCAAATGTTCATTTAAAAAAAGACTACATTCCTTTGCTTACTTACCGTCTTCCAGAATACGACATCAAGATGGCTCACCTGTCGGCATTTCCTTAAGAAGTTCTTCAGGTCCCCGTACGGCATGAACTCCGTGATGAGATACAGATGGTCTCGTACCACCGTGCAGCATGCGACCAGACCCAGAACGTTGTCTTGAACCCCCAGCTCCACCACTGCACGGATCTCCTGCAGAAAACTCAGCCGGTCTTCCTCACTGGCGTTGTCTGCGGATGGGCAGGGTGGGAAAATCAAAGTGGCGTAAAATAAGTCAGAAATGGTTACAAATGGCAAAAGAACTATGGAAAATTCAGTTACAAATAAAAAAAAACTGGTAATCAAATGCCGGCGTTTATCTAGGGGCTTTTGAGAAACAGGTCTTTGTTAATTTGTAACATTGTCAATCGATCTCTCCCTCTTTCACCACACACACACACACACACACACACGTACGTTTCAAAGTTTTGACGACGACATCCTCCGTCTCGTCGCCAGTTGTCAGGGTTGCCCGGTAAGCGAAGCCGAACGCCCCGCTACCGATCCTCTCTCCAAGCGTCACCCGGCTGGGGTCGACCTCAAACCCCGGCAACTCTGGCCGAATAGGAACCAGCGGGACCGCCGCTAACTCTTGCAGTCTTCTGTTGTGGACTGTAGAAAAACATGGCATATGAACATTGGGGGTAAAATATTTCATCTCTAAAATGTCTGGTACAGTTAAAATTGCCCAGACAAGATCCTAAGGCGTCAAGTTGGGGACATCCTGCAATTGTGGAGAAATTTGTTTCCTTTCCCACCAGACCGACAAGAAGTGCCAGAACACATGTAAACAAATTTAAACTCCGAACCTACTGTCCTTCTGAGGTAAGACTATATTTAACTCACTTATTACATCATCTGGTAGAAAGGAGTCGATCTGTACTGGGCTGTCTTCTCTTTCCTTCCTCCTCCGTCTTAGGAAGACCGTTAAGACGACAGCTGCCACGATCAGCGCTGCGATGATACCGGCACTGCTACCGGCGGCGATGATGGCTTCCAAGGGCGATTGACTCTGCTGTTCAGGTACTGTGTGTGATAAAACAAATTTTCAGCTTGCTTTTTTTCTGGCACCAGAGTGGTGATGACGACACTGACTGTGGCCATGCTGTAACAAGGAACTCCGTTTACCTGAATGTCGGTTCGTCCAGTGATGTTATTTCATTCCTTCAATAGCTGTGATGGAATGGCAAATGCATATATATCTGTATCTTGAAGGTCCAGTTGGTCTTAGAGACGTTTACATATTTTTTTAAACTTAGTCAATGATGAAAACATAGAATGCCGACGAGGTAACTCACATATTTGGCAAGTCGGAATCTCTCGTCCCCAACTCCCGTCCTCATGGCAGGTGGCCAAAGACCTCCCTACAAGCTCGTACCCAGGGTTGCAAGAGAACGAAATGTTGTTCCCAAAACAGTAACCGTCGGTGGCATTCACCACGCCGTTCGTGATTTCTAATGTTTTATCACAGCAGATACCTGAAAATGTATAGCGTTTTAATGAGCAGTGTTAAAGGCTCTAAAATTAACAACAGTACATTATTTGGTATACTCTTCTTTCAGATGACAGGAAATGATAAACAAAGAAAGTCGAAAAAACAGAAAGGTAACATTTGCAAAGGAAATGCTGTTTACCTTCACATGGTCTAGCCTAACAAACTGCTGCTTTGTTGATTCTTACTAAATCACATTCATATACTAGTATATCATGGCAGGATTTGTGGGAGGACCAGCTCCTCCAGCTCTGTATCGCTCCATAATGTAACCAAACACCACAGGATGTCTGCTGAAGCACCAGTTACCATGGTGACAGACGTCTGGACCAGGTCATTGATCTTATATGTTTTGCGAAGACGGAGAAACAGATCAAAACTATATGCTTTCCTTCTGCAAAGTTAGACATAAAATGTTATTTCGGTAACGTTAACTCACGTTGGCAAGTCGGAAAGTTTCGGTCCCATCCTCTGTCTTGGCAGATCGCGAAGGATTCGGAGTTGCCGACAAGCTCATATCCGGTGTCACAAGAAAACTGGACGGCGTTTCCATAGCAGTAGCTGTCGTTCCCATTGACTTGGCCGTTCAATATCCGTATGGCACTGTCACAGCAGATCTCTGTGAATTAAAACATGAAAATAAATGCTGAGTTTGTTTATTTTCTTTATATCGATATCAATATCACAGCTGTTCTTTCATTCAAGATTCAAGGAAAAAAGGATTTGCAATAAAGTCAACTATTCATACAAAGACCTGTGACTGTAAGGAAGCTGATATCATACATTCACATTACTATCATGAGAACCCCTGCTAATTGTCCTCAATTTCGTACATTCACTTATGCTTCTGGAATGCAAACAGACATCTTACCTTTGCCACAGTATGGGCCAGTCCAGCCGTCTTTGCAATCACAGGTACCCTCTGCCGGAGCGCAGTAACCGCGGCCGTGACACACCGTGTTTGTCCCGACGTGTTCCAATGCGACACCTTCCATGTGACTAGGGGAGCTACAGGTAGGGTTCCCATGAATTGTATTACGCAGACTTACCAAAGTCATTTGACCCTGCAATATACAGTCACACCGCCAGGGGTTCCCATATATAGCAAGGGTCATCAGAGGAGGAAGACTTGTGATGCCAGCAGGCAGCATCTGTATGCTATTGCTAGACAGGTTTAACTTGGTCAGCCTGGTAAGATTGGAGAAAACTGTGGCTGGAAGAATCTCGATGCGATTGTTAGACAGGTCCAGTATTTGAACGCTAGTTTGAGTTGAAAATATCTCGTTGGTTAGATTCTGTATATCGTTGTTCTGGAGATAAAGCTCCTCCAGGCTGACGAGATGTGAGAAGACTCCGTCAGGGAGAACGCTGATGTTGTTGTTCTGCAGAGCAAGCTCCTCCAGGCTGGTGAGATGTGAAAAGACTTCGTCAGGGAGAACGCGGATGTTGTTGTTCTCCAGATAAAGCACCTTCAGGCTGGTGAGATGTGAGAAGACACCGTCAGGGAGAACGCTGATGTCGTTGTTCTGCAGATAAAGCCGCCTCAGGCTGGTGAGATGTGAGAAGACTCCGTCAGGGAGAACGCGGATGTTGTTGTTCTGCAGATAAAGCCCCTCCAGGCTGGTGAGATGTGAGAAGACTCCGTCAGGGAGAACGCTGATGTTGTTGTTCTGCAGATAAAGCCACCTCAGACTGGTGAGATGTGAGAAGACTCCGTCAGGGAGAACGCTGATGTCGTTGTTCTGTAGATAAAGCGCCACCAGGCTGGTGAGATGTGAGAAGACTCCGTCAGGGAGAACGCTGATGTCGTTGTTCTGTAGATAAAGCCCCACCAGGCTGGTGAGATTTGAGAAGACTCCGTCAGGGAGAACGCTGATGTCGTTGTTCTGCAGATAAAGCCACTCCAGGATGGCGAGATGTGAGAAGACTACGCCAGGTAGAATACGGATGCCATTACTTTGCAGATGAAGCCGTTCCAGGCTGGTGAGAGCTGAGAAAGACGCATCAGTCAGGTTCTGGATGCTGTTGGACTGCAGGTAAAGAATAGTTGTCTCCAATGGTATGTTGGCGGGAACGTCTTTGAATCCCTTTTCGGCACAGCTAGCCCACCCGCCAATAGTACACCAACATTTCTCCGGACAGGCCGAGGCAGTCGTGATGACCCACAGGAGACCGAGGACACCGACTGCAGCAGATCGGCACGTCACGCGGCACATCTGCATGCTGCTGCTACTGCTGCAGGTATAACAAGAGTTCCGCACATCATACCTTCCTTCGCCAAATGTTGTAAACCCTTCCGGGGTAAATTATACATCTTTGCTCATTGATTTCGCAAATAAGAGCCTCATTTGCATGGATTATATAAGTTGATCATATTCTCCAACAAAAAAGGCTATTCTAGCACTTCCTCTTAAATTATGCAAATGAGGTCATGATTTAAATAAATAATGTTTATTGATGTTCACCTTCACTTAACTTCCAAGTATGAAATTCCCAGCAGTTACTTCTATGAAATTATAGCAATTTTCCCATTAACTATGCAAATTACATCTTTATTAACATAATCTATATCTTCAGATGTTGCTCGTACATATGTCACAAGTGTTTCATAGTCCTTTTATCGAACAATTTAGAAAGCAAATATAATATACAATACAAAGGTATATATAATTTACTTATTAATTATGCAAATTAGCTCATGATTTGCATATTTTTTTATCTAATTATGTCAAGTAACACTTCAGCAACCTACATACCAAAAACCACGACAATCCGTCAACCGGTTCTTGAGTTATCCTCCTTCGAAGATTTTCGTACAAATGCGTCTGTAGTTTTAGAGCAAGCTGCTAGGGAAACCAAACTCATTTAACTTCTTCCCTAGCCAAAGAGCTATTTACCAGCCAAAATTCATGACCCTAGCATGTCCAGATCATGAGATATCAAAACCGGAAGTTCTACTACAGTACCAACAAAAGTCGCCAAGACCTACCCACCTACCAAGTTTCATGACAATGCATTTAATCAAAGCTTCTTGAGTTGTGCTGTTTAAAACAAACAAACAAACACTTGAACAGACAGACGGACAATCATCATCATTTAGACGGACAAACGGTACTGAAAACATAACATTCTTTGCGAAGGTAATAACACCCGGTGTGAGCACGTCCGCAGAACGTACTGCACATGCGCGAAACCAGAACTGTTCACGGTTTTCGTTGGATTTTTGATCAACGTCAATTTTTATAGCCGACGTTAATTTTAATTCCCCCCCCCCCTAAAAAAAAGAAAGAAAGAAATTCCGCTTCCTGTAACTTTGACCGAGAGTGCCGCAAATCGTAAGATCGATGTAAACCCGTAACGCGAAATATGAGCACAAGAAACAGGACAATTGCTGTTCCACTAATTTAGTGCTGTTTAGCGCAGGAAAAACTAGCCGCTTCTTGACACAGGCCTCTGATGCAATTTAAAGGCGACAAAACAAGAAATATCGTGGATAAGGAAATCTGTTTGAGATTTACGTCACGAAAAACAAGGAAACGGAGGTAAGGGCTGCTGCTGACACGAGAATCGTGCTGAAATGAGGAAGCATCGTAGCAACAACAGACTTCAAATCGTTGACAGAATCAGAAATGACGTCGTCTTATCATCTGTATGAAACCTGTACACACAGGTAAAGCCGCTGCTTGATACAGGCATCTGATGCGGCAAGGCGGCAAAACAAGAAATGTCCTGGATAAGGAAATCTGTTTGAGACTTACTACCTGACTGATATATACTACCATTTTTTTTTTAAGTTAAAATCTTTATTCAAATCAATATATACAATATACAAAACCCATTCTGTGTACAATTCTGGTACTACTATGGCACTACTCTGTCTACAATATTCTTTTTGATGGACATACAATCATATCTACGGTACTTTAACATGTCCCGAATAAAAAGCGGTCAGCAGTCTATTTGAAGTGGCTTAAAGAAACGGAACATATTTTGAGCTGTTGTTGAGATTTACATAGTACATTCTCCTGAAAGTTTATCAATCCAGTTCTGTAATAATTGTACATGTGATTCGGTATTTGTTAATGTTTTTCGATCTTAAATTTTTCCATACATTCTCTGACAAATAAATTAAAACAATCTATTCTGTTGTAGTAATTTTTATCTTTGTATAATGCCCAACTCTTAAAAATTACATGTAGTGCTATGGCTATGGTATGATTTGCGATTCTGTCTATATATGTATTTCTTGAAATTCCCAGTATACATGTTTTAAAGTCCATATCAATATCAGTTATACTACTTAACAAATTTTTTACCCTTTCCCAGAAGCTGTTTACTCTTTTACATCTAAAGAACATGTGTTCGTCGTCTTCTATTTTCATACATATCATACATAAAGGTGAATTTATTATTTTCCATTTGAAAAGATTTTTGTTGTTCGGGAGTATTCTGTGCAAAAGTTTGAACATGAAATTTGATAGTTTTCTTTCTGTTGTGAGATTGACCGTTCTGTCTTTCCACGGGATTTGAAAGACTGCTGGATCAATTTGAAATTTATTTGTCCAAATATTTTCCACCTGTGATTTCTGAATTTTGTCTGAAATTATCATCTTGTAAAGATATTTACAAGTGTATTTGGTAAAATCAAAATTTTGCACCGTTACCGGTCTTGACTCATGTTCTCTTTTCAACAGCAATAGCCAGCTTTTGGGAATAGCGTTTTTTATCATGTAAATTTCGCTTAGCCAGTTAGTACGATCTTGTAATTTGTTGAGTATACAATTCTCATTTATACAGAGGTTGTCGTCCAGCAAGTCATCTATGTATATGATATTTGAGTGTATCCATTTTTTGAAAAACAAAGATCTTCTTTTTTGTTGTCCTTGTGTATTTACAATAAATCGTGATCCCCACAATATGTGGCTTTTAACCTCATGTGCAGTCTCAGGTTCTGACACATCTCCTCCTCCTGCCTTGTGCCAACCTAAAATGACATGTTGATAGAATAGTGGTATAGTCTCCATGTTTGGACAGTTCAATCTATTTCTAAAATGCATTTTTATAATTAGAAATTTTCTCCCAAGCTATTAAGGTACAAACTTGGGAGGAGTTTCCAGTCACCAGAAGTGCCGTCCATCAAACGACGAATTAAACCAGCGTGTAGAGCTTGTATTTGTGATCTAACATCCAACATGTTTACTCCACCATTCTCGTAGTCTGATATCATTACAGATCGTTTTATCTTATCTCTTTTTCCAGACCAAAGAAAGTTGTAAAACAAACTATTGAGTTTAAGGATCGTTTCTTCAGGGACAACAAGTGTAGTGGCACGGTAAATGATTTGTGACATTATCAGTGTTTTCAACACTGTCACTTCCATAAAAGGTTAAGTTTTCTTATTTTTCCATATATACAACATATTCTCTAATTTTTTTTACTTTTTCATCCCAATTCTTTTCATTACACTCTATCTTGTTATGTCCAAAGTATATACCTAGCGATTTAATAGGTTTGTTCGGAAAAGCAATTCCCCCTATTTCCTTTTTCCTAAATTTCCAACATCCCCACCCATATAGCTTGTGTTTTTCGGATGTTAAGCTCAGGTCCTGCTATTTTGCTGAATAATTGTAATGATTCAATAACTATGTATACAGACTTTTCATTCCCTAGCAATAGCGTAGTGTCATCTGCTACTTGTGATGTTTTCACTTCTTTTTCATCCTTACCGTCTGTTATAGTAATTCCCACAATATCTTTTTTTTGATTTATATAAAGTGCTAAAATTTCTGCTACGAAAAGAAATAATAATGCTGATAGAGGGCACCCTTGTCGTACGCCTCTTTGTAAAAGAAAGAACTCTGACAGCCATCCATTGTTACTTACTGCACTGCTACATTTGTTATAAATAGTTCTTACCCATTTTATGTAAGTATCTCCAAAATTGTATCTATTCAGCACCTTGAACAAAAAGTTCCATTCTATAGAATCATATGCCTTTTTGAAATCTAAAAATAACAGTATACCGGGACTATTGACTTTCTCCGTGTACGTCATAATATCTAAAAGTAGTCTTATGTTTTGAGTAATACAGCGTCCCTTTATATATGCTGTTTGGTTTTCATTTATATGTTTTGGCAAAAGAGGTTTTAATCTATTTGCGAGTACATGGGTTAATATTTTGAAGTCAACATTCAACAAACTTACAGGTCTCCAATTATCTAGGTTATCTTCCTCACCGCCCTTATGTAGCAGCTTGAGAATAGCCTTCTTATGTGATAACGACAATTCTCCTTTTTCCAATCCTTCCTTAATTGAATTTAACACTAATTGGCCTATAATGTCCCAAAAGTTTTGATAAAATTCAACGGTTAAGCCATCTGACCCCGGACTTTTATCAGGTTTTCATTTGTGTAAGAGCTTTTATAAATTCACTGTCAGTAAGTGTTTTATTTAAATGTGCATTTTCGTCTTCAGACAGGGTATCCGGTATGTTAATTCCTTCTAAAAAATGTCTGCCTCTTCGTCGGCCACCTGTTTAGATCTATACAAGTCTTCGTAGAATTCTTTGCAGTGTTGTAGTATCCCAGCTGTGTTTGTAAACAATTCCTTATTGGGTCCCGTTAACTTTGTGATGGTGTGCTTTTTACCATTACTCCGTTCTAGGTTTAAAAAAAGCTTTGTGGATTTTTCACCTTGCTCATAGTATCTAGTCCTTGATCGTATCCTTGCCCCAGTTGCTTTATCTTCATAAAATTTATCAAGTTGTTCCTTTGCCTGGTTATATCTTGTAATAATATCATCATAAGAATCTGTTTCTCCATTTATTTTTGTTTCAAGAACTGCAATATTTTCTTCGAGAGATCTAAGACATTTTGAACGACAAAGCGCTTTTCTTTTACTGTATTGTATTGTTCTTTCTTTTATGATTTTTTTACATAAATCCCAGTGCGTTCTATGGTCATACTGTTTACATCTCCCCTGCATACTTTTTATCGTTTGTGTTAAAAGCTTTCTATAGTTCATGTCCTTACACAAACTATTGTTAAATCTCCACAGTCCTGGCCCTTTTTCGGCTTGTTTTGTGGTGATCTTTAGCATTACCGCTTGATGATCGGTGCGTACAGCAGGTCTAATGTCCGCACTGATCACTCTATTTCCAAACGATTTTTGGATCAGAAAGTAATCTAATCGACATGCCACCATGGGGTTATTTCTTCTCCAGGTGTATTGTCGTT